CTCACTAATGACGCACCAAAAATCTGGTCCAGATCATATGGTGTATTACTGGGATATAACTGTTGGAAGAATCTAGGGGGCGTATTTGAGTTCAAAGTTAAACAATATCAATGTGTCTAGAAGTGCTCAATAATGATGCACCAAAAATCTGGTGCAGGTCGGATAATATACAAAGTATCATTGAGATATAACAGTTTGAATAATCTAGGGGGTGCACTTGATCAAATGTTAAAGAACAATACCAATGTGTCTAGACATGCTCACAGATGACGCACCAAAAATCTGGTGCAGATCAGATGATGTATCACTGAGATGTAACTGTTTGAAAAATGTAGGGGGCACACTGGAGTCAAAAGTAAAAGAACAATACCAATGTGTCTAGAAGTGCTCACTAATCAAGCACCAAAAATCTGGTGCAGATCGGATGATGCTTCACTGAGCTATAACAGTTTGAATAATATAGGGGCGCACTAGAGTCAAAAGTAAAACAACAATACCAATGTATCTAGAAGTGCTCACTAATGACACACCAAAAATCTGGTGCAGATCATATGATGCATCACAGAGATATAACAGTTGCAAGAATCTAGGGGGCACACTTGGTTCAATTGTTAGTGAAAAATACCAATGTGTCTACTAATACTCACTGACCAGGCACTATAAATCTAGTACAGATCAGATGATGTATCCTTGAGATATAACTGTTAGAATAAAAGGGTGCACACTAAAGTCATATGTTAAACAACAATACCAATGTGTCTAGAAGTGCTCACTAATCAAGCACCAAAAATCTGGTGCAGATCGGATGATGCTTCACTGAGATATAACAGTTTGAATAATATAGGGGCGCACTAGAGTCAAAAGTAAAACAACAATATCAATGTGTCTAGAAGTGCTCACTGATCATGCACAATAAATCTGGTGCAGATCGGATGATGTATCACTGAGTTATAACTGTAAGAATATTGTAGATGGCGCTATGGAGGCAATTGACCACTTATCATGGATACCTGTTCAAGGGGTGGATAATGAGTGATCAAAGTGATTTTGGTTCACCTCGGCTGAAATCTGTGTATTTTAGAGCCAAACATATTGCAACAGTGTCACTTCTTGATTCTCCATGCCACCACGCCCACATCCTCCAGAAAAAACGGTTTGCACTTTAAATCAAGTCAGACCATCTTATCTGTCTTCTAACACAGGATCATCCTGATTAGGTCAATGGTGTCAAAGAGGGAGCATTCCAAGTAAAAAAAGAGACTTCCTGTTCTGAGTGGGTTGGGCTTTGATGACGTCAAATTATGATGACAGTGGATCGTCGGACATCCAACAGGGATGAGTCATGCCAAGTTTGGTGCATTTCGATCTTTCAATGTGAAAGTTATAGCGTTTGAAAATTTATAGCGTGAAGTGGAAATTTGAGGCCTGGCCACGCCCCTTTAACCTAAACGAAACCGAAAGCTTTTGATAACTTTTACTCCCCCATGTCTTAAGGGCATATTAACCAAGTATAAAGACAATCACTCAAATCCCTAGGAGGAGTTCGTTGAAATTCGCCATTGGAAACGCCCAAAAATGACCCTTTGACCCAAAATGGCTGACTTCCTGTTGGCTTAGGACCGGGGTTCCAAGAGACTTCTTCATAGGTCCTGAGACGATGTTCACTGAGTTTCAGAATTATCGGTCAAAAAATGGCTAGGGCTGAGGTTTTGAAATATTCTAGGGGGCGCTGTGGAGGCTATTGGCCAATTATCATGGCTTCCTGTTCAATGGGTGGATAATGATCGATCATACTGATTTTGGTGCACCTCAGTTCAAATCTGTGGAATTTAGAGCCAAACGTATGGCGACGGCGTTGCAGCTTACTTCGCCACGTCGCGACGCCCACATGCTCCACCCCAAACTGTCAGTGTTGGAAACCAAGTTATACCAACATGTCTTCGGTCACTGGACACAATATCATGCTAATCAGGTGACAGGGGTCAGATAGGGACCGTTCAACATAAAACTTTACACTTCCTGTTGTCAGGGGGTGTGGCTTAAGTGATGTCATGATTTGACCATTCATTCTTGCAGGGGACCGGATGTGGATCAATCACTGAAGTTTTGATGTCTCAGACAGTTTCTGTGTAGGAGCTATTAGCGTTTCGTTTTTCATGGCGACATGTCAAACTTTCAGGTCTGGCCCTGCCCCTTCAGCATGCCTCGAAACAAACTGTTTAGATAACTTTGCGTCCCCCATGCCTTTTGACCAAAATGACCAAGTTTGAAACCGATTGAGCAAAATCCCTAGGAGGAGTTTGTTCAAATGCGGAGGATGTAAATCGCCAAAAAGTGTGAAAATTGGGCTGGCATTCCAAAATGGCCACCTTCCTGTTTATCGTACAACGTTGTTGCCAGAGGATTTTCTGTGCATCTTGGGGAATTGGACAAGCGTACCAAATTTCATGTTTCTACGACAAACTAAGGTTAATGTAGAGGGTATTTTGAAATTTTCTAGATGGCGCTCTTGATCTGTTTCTGTTGCAATTTTTGCCACGCCCTTAAAATATGTAATTTTTCACCAGTCCTGATGCGTCCGCCATTTTTGGTGACTTTTGGGATATGTTAAGGCCCCCAAAACGTCAATTCATTTGACGGAAGAAATTGCAGCTCGTGCCTGAACAGAGCGATTACAATCGGCCTTCGCAGCGCTTCGCTGCTCGGTCCTAATAATGACAACACCGTGGTCTAATGCAGAAGTGCAAGCGATGTGTTTGTTGGCCAATGACAAAATTCAGAGCAATCTAGATAGAGCGACTCGCGACGAAAAGTGTTTCAAGAGGTGTCGGAGCTGATGGCTTCTCATGGCTACCAGTGAACACTGAAGCATTGCTGGGAGACGCTAAACCTCGCCTTGAATCAATGATGGATGATGGTGAGTGTTTTCTAACTTTAGGCTTATTTTAAGTTTCTCATCTCATCGGTTTAGAGTATATTTTAAACATACAAAAGAGACTGATGTCATTGCCCCTGAATGTAAATAGTACAGCTAATTAACATCACTGCTAACTGTGCTCTATTCCTGTTTTCACACTATTTTGATCTGCTGTTACATGTTGTTGCGTGTGTTCTGAAGTTGTGCATTTCTTATATTTCAGAGTGTCTCCTGGCATGTGACGGTCCGTCTCAAAGCTCCTTGGCTTCTGCCCCTGCTCCATTCGCCACAGATCTCTGTTGCACCATGCATTTTTGTACATTTGTTACTTTTCAATAAAAAATAGTGTTTCTTATGTGCTTGCATCATGATTTGCAGTGTTAAGAGCCTAGGAAGGAAGCCAGCAGACTCGTAAAGACATTCTTATTAGATTTGTTAGATTTGAAACGTCATAACAATTACCGGTAGATATTTCATAGTTTCAGATACTAAGACATGATTATGAGCTAAATCCAGATTTGATCCAATCTGTGGGTGTGTGACAGTAATAATCTGACATGAATGATGTTTTATTTGGACAAATTCTGAAGCTTCCAGGTTAACCCTTCTTTTGTCCGCTAACTTTATGACCATTCATGACCCTTAGGGAAAATCAATCGCCTTATAAAAAACTGTTTATTTTATTTCATTTACAAAATAAAACAACTAGTCAGTCTTTTAGAGCTAACTCGGTCTGAAAACATCAAATTTGAATTACTTGGTATTTTAACTCTTCAGGCCATTTTATTATTATTATTATTTCATCCATCCATCCATCCATCCATCCATCCATCCATCCATCCACAGTGTTTGGTAAAGTCCATAGTGCAAGTTAAGTTGAGCTTTAATAACTCTTAAGAAAAGATTGCCAGAATCTGTTCACCTGTTATTAAATTAGTCTTATTTTTTGTTTGTTCCAGGATTATTATTTTTTCATTCATTTCAGGCTTCAGAGAAACAATTGCTTAATAGTTCATAACTGTACTTCACAACATCATTCCAGTGAAATTGTGACAGCTTGTAGAGATTCATAGGGAGCAAAAATATACACATTTTTATGAATTCAGCACAAAACTTTATGATTTAAGGCCAAATTTAAACAGAATGTTTTCAAATCTACAGTTGCTTGTAAAATCTTAAGTTTCTTATGATGCTTCTCATTACATAACAAAAGTCAAGACATTTTTCATACATCTTTATTGTCAACATGTACTGTATACTGAAACGATACATCGATGGGTTTAGGGTACCAGAAACCTGAACCAGGAACAATAACATCCCACCACTGCCAGGCTCTGTTAAGCACCTAGATTGTAGGTCTGCTGCTATTTTTTTTTTCTGGAGATTAGCATATCTGTATCTATCTGTCTAGCATATGTATTACTAAACAGTATTTAATTGACATTTACATACTTTTACGCTCGACTTTTTTCATATTATAGTCCACTATAGCAGAGTAGCATTAGCTTACCGTCTCGCGTTGTCTAGCTCGCATCATTATGGCTTCCCACACTCCTGTACTTCTCCAGAATCTTTTGAGCCACAGACTGAGCAGAATGTTCAACAAAGCTACTATATCCTCCATTTTGTTGCGTATCTTTTCAGAGTCTTCTTCTAATATGTTTAATGGTAGCTAGCAAATAGCTTAATTGAGCACTACCACCACCAGCTGGTAAGGCGCGTAGCATCAATTTTTGGACTGAACTTGCCCACTAGAACCATTACTGAAAGTGTAAAGGAAAACCAGCTGTACAGGTGCTAATGGAAAAGGGGCATTATTTAATGCGTCTTTGTGCCCCCCCCCCACCCCCCCCTACAGCCACCTCCTCCCCCCCCCCCCCGCCCCCCCCGCGCGCGTGCGGTTGTGCTTTATCGTTG